TCAGCTGAATCTTCTTTATGTTTACTCGCAAGGATATATTTACTTGGGGTATTCGTATCGGATGACAAGCCCAAGTGCTTGCGTTTTTTTTTTTTTTTTTTTTTCACTCGGACACTTTCGTGAGCTCATTACAATTGGTTTTGAGTATTCAATATTAAACTGATGTGCTGGAAAAGAAGGAACCGTGATCGATAAACATTGTGCACCCATGACCATGCAGTACGTGATCTTTATCCTTATGTTGACTGCGCTTACTCGTAGTAAGAATAATAAGTTGTATTATAATATCTCTGATAAATTAACTATTACATGAGTAAAAAAAAAACTGTCACTCCAAATGTCTCGTAACTTGATAAATGTCAGTTATTCATAGCGAATCGTTACAACAAATTATTGCGACGATGACCTTCCGCGACATCGTTATCGAGAAAAAGTGTAGGGGGTCCTATTACCAAACAAGTAGCTCAAAGTATGAAAAGATTACGATGCCTATTTCTATTGTATCCGTCTATAGAGCACTTTGTAGCAAATCACTACTATTTTCTTACCTGTACATGTATATACTTAGATTTTTCCGGATGTACAGTTCATAAGCAGATTCTTACACGTGTATATGCGCAATATTGCATATTATATATAGCGGGTGAAGGTACTTGCACGTGGAGTGCCGAGAAAAAGAAGTGAAGAAAAACCGGACTAACCGCAAACGACTCGTGACGATCGAAAGTGAGACAGGGGAGGGGCTGAAGAAATGCGCTTACGCATTGAACTGCATTTTTGTATGCATAATGCCCCGAGCGATTTTTTCCTTCCACAGATTGTTATCGAGTCTGGTCTCGAAAAAGAAATCGCTTTTCGGGGAGTTGCACGTGCATTCCAACTAAATTTTGGAGACATTGGGCTTCAGTCGACTTGTATGATGGGAGTTTTTTTTTTTGCAAGTAAACGCGCGTGATCGGTACATTGACGGCCCTTTAAAGAAATTTTATTGACAATAAAAAAAAAGTAATAGTCAAGGTAAAAACCTGTTTTCGAATCGGTAGTCGAAGAAATGCTAATTTTATCGCGATATCAGATAACATCCGATCTCGAGCGCCCAACCTGCTGGTTATCGAGATGAGCGACTATTATGATTCATCTGCGGTGTCTGCAGTTGCTCGTACATCAATGTAAATTTGTGTCGATTATGAAATGAATATTAATGAAGTAAAGTCAGACGCGTTTTATGATTTATTACTCGTTAATTGAAACTTCTGTCGTACGTAGGGCTATTAATCAATGAAAAAAATTCCTTGCGTAATCGCCACATGTCTACAAGTCTACTTTAAAATGTACCAATTTTGAATTGGAAAAGTCCTTGTATAATTGGCTTTTTTTTTTTTTTCTTGACTGTATCCAATTTACTTTATTCTACACTGCAATGAAAACACAAAAATAGTGACAAAATCGTTACTCCAGGATTATAATCATCAACATTATCGTGAATCAACTATACAGTATTGCGTTGTTATCGTGTTTTAATAGACTAAGCTGTATATTGTAAAACAATAATAATTATTGGTTAAAAGGGCTTCTGGTCAACTGACCAATCTGCTACGTGAGAAAAATATGTCGTTCATTATAAACCGCAGTTGTCGTGATGAAGAGTCGTCGTGAAATCCTTGCATCATGTAACATTTGTACTTTGCATAATTCGCATTTGGTCATGCTCTGGTGTGTTCCATCATGCTTTTATGATATACTGCACCTCTGGGGTCGTGCATACTCGGAAGTGCCGAAAATCGTGAACCACCTGCTGGGCAGCGTAAAAATAACACACAGCAAAAAATGAGCCCATCATCTGCACGCAATGAATAAAAAAAAGTGTTCAGAGCACGTCAGACAGCATCGCGAAAAAATTAACGGTATACAACCTGCATTGATTGGCTCCGATTTTCGAACCCAAGCAGCATCGAAAAAGGATTTGACGATGGTAGAAAGGGCCTTGAAAGGAATTTTTTCTTTTATTATGCAGTTAGTTGAACTCATTAAAACAAACAGGTTATCTTTGCTGGAAAACTAATGAAATGAAATAAAAAATATTTTAGCGAACAAAAAAATCAAGTGGAAACCATCAAAAGTAATAATAAATAGAGTATATATTTTTTTGAAGCGTGTAAAAAGATATCGCAACCCCACCAAGTAACAACAACATAAAAAAAAAATCAGTTGCCCTTTATATTTTTTAAATCCAACGCGATGTACGTTCACTATGATGTATTTTCAAATTAATCAGAATTATGTTAGTTTTATCGTAACAAATTTCTAATTAATATCTCGCAATGCTGCGGTGATCGTACCTTTATGCGTATACGAAACTAAATCTCACCTAGAGGCAGACACGCAAAAAACGTAATGATCAACCAACAAATATTGTATACCTACGTTACAGTAGCTTAGGTAGAGAAGACGTATAGAGCAAAACGATAATAAAGAAGCCTGAAAATCCATTATCGAAACTCCCAAGCGCTGATCTTAATACAAAGGGTATACTCCCCTCGTGGGCCGTATAATTTATTTGCATTCTTATGTGTTCCGACAAAGGATTCGCCACACGCTGCAAAACGTTGCTCTGCTGTACCCACACTTATACGCACAACACACGCAAAAGTGCGTGGCGTACAGAAAATCAATAGGCTTTTCATTCCTTTTTGCGATAGCTCGACGGCCCTGAATAATATTGCAAGCAGTAGGTTAATGGAGTAAGGAGCATAAAGAGTGCCCAGATGCGCTTTCAGCGAGAAAACGCAAACGAACCCCTGTATACCTACGTACCCTCGTCCAAGGATATATTTTTATTCGCGTAGAAAAAAGAGTTTACCTGTATACAGTGCTCGTGTGGCGCAAATTGCGATAAATTGTTATTTTATGACTAATTAAGCAAATTGAAAGAAAAAAAAGAACATTGACCTTTGCAGCTTCTCTCTACTGTACCTGTACCTACACAAACGAGGCATGAAGACTAATGATCCTCGTAAATCAGGTAAATCGGAAAATAGCATGCATGGGTATATACGTTTCTGAGCTCTTGCGCTGGCATACATGTATACCTTTATTAATGGGAAGGGGAAATCCTTGTGACGATCTTTTGCATGCGCGCGCGGAGGGATACCTGCGCTGCAAATACTGTATTATACTTACTAGATTCATGCTGGAGAAAGAGGATAAGGATGAGTCAAGGCCGACTAAGGTCAAGAATCTCATTTCGTCTCGCTCACGTGGAGATAAAATCAAGACGGCCTAGATTTTTTGCCAATGTTCGAAAATTAATCTTTGCATAGCCGAGATTTCTCGTCGTTTTGGGCAAGTCTCACGAGAAACGGTGATAAATACATTTGGATTCATCCCGAGGTAGTTGAAATTTCTTGAAGAATCTGCCCTTACTGCTATCATCGATTCTTCTTGCACTTCCAGGATTCAAGGACTTTTTGGAATTGCTTCCTTGATCGGTATGGGTAATTGCTTGGCATATGACTGACACGACTAATACTAATTAACAATAAACAACATGACTAACAGTTTCACAAATACCTCACTCAAAATTGCTTGCCATGTGGAACCTTCGACATACATATGAATGTTTAATTTTTTCAACTAGTATTTCCATTTCACTTATTTTTACCTTGCCACTCAACGTGTCCATTGAAACGAAAATCGTTCAAGTACTCTTATCATATTCATACTTTTAATACAATAGGTGTTTTTGCCGTCAGTTCTCAAAACACGTAGTCATTATAATAAAAAA